GTAATCTATGCTCGACGAGACTTCGATCCAATCCGGACATTTCTTCGTATTCCCAAGCGAAGCGATCCTTATATTCTCTTAACAAGGAAATCATGTCCCTCTTTAACTCTTTCTCGAGATACTTACCGATATACGTGGGTTTCGTTCCTCTTCACTTCCTAAGTTAACTTCTTCTAATGGATCTTGAGTCTCGACTTTTTTATAATTTGATGTAATAGATTTTTCGAAACCTAAAGGAGAATAATCATAAATACAATCAAGTATAACTTGATCGCTATTATTTGCAACTACTGGTCGAGTGAATCGACTTATTTATCCCTATTTTACTACTACTACTTTCTTGGCTCTTCTTCCCATCTTCATATTTTCCCAATCGAGCCAAGAACTCTTCGTATTCTCTATTCATTTTCACCGGCCACTTCGAGGTTGGCCCCTCTTTGATCATGATGAATCCTTTCTTCTCATTCATCTCTAAGAAACGCTCCTCATGCAGTTTGGAATTAAAATCTTCGATCGTTTCGAAGGTGAATGGTTGAGCAAGCGCCAGATTCTCGCAATGCTCGGCCAGCTCGAGATACGAATGTTACAAATTCATGTTGATCTCCAGGGATTACTTCGAGATGTCCATCTCGATTCCACATAAATAACTTTTGATGAGTCGTCGAAGGCACAACTCCTACTCCATGAATCCACTCTCGCCAAGTAATGCATTGAAATTGGCATGCGACTCGGACCACAACAAACACAGTAGGTCTCGAGTAAGTGCCCACTTTCACGTCTAAAGCGATCATACCTTCGAACTTGACGTCTTTCCGCTGAAATCGGAAATCATAATGTTGTGCTTGACCAAGTCTTTTAGCTCAATACCAAATTTCTTTAGCATAGTAATTGGCAGTATATTCACTGCTGCTCCACCATCGACAAGGACTCTATTCACCATCTGTCCTTGAATCTCGATGTTTAGTAATAATGGTTTCAAGTGGAACCTCATTTCCTCGGATGGGGGATCGATGAAAGCGGCGTCTCTATGAGGAACTTCACATGAGGTTTGTGTTACCCATGTTATTTTAGGCTTTATGTTTTCTGAATAGAAGTCGCTTTCCCGCTCGGCATCTATTTGTTCTTGATACTCTTTGTATTCGCTCACATATTCCGCAGGTAAAATTGATATTACCCCGATTTGATGTTCGTCCCAAGTACTATCATCCTTGTCATCGAGAAATTCTCTTGTATAATGACTCTCTATAGGTGCAACATTTTCTTCAAAGTTTTTGTAATTATTCCAATAGGAGATCCTTCCTCCTCTTCTCCAGGGCCTTCCTCGGAATCTTCTTTGGAATGCTGGGAATCTAGTGATCGACCTATCGTCATACGAGAGTCTTTCAAAAACATCGTTACTTTGAAGTCTACCTCTTCCTCCTCGAGAAGGATACATCTCTCTTCTAATCCACTGCCTCTGATTTTCATTAACACCAGAGCCAACGGATTTCTGCTGACTTTCTTCGATAGTTGGTCGGACTGTTTGATCTATTTTGTCATTTTTCCTTTTATTTTGGTTCTCGATCTTCTTCATCTGTTCTGTTCTGAAAGCGTTGGCAGCCGATTTATCGAACACTGCACTGCATCTTGGGCATAATGACACATCTTCGTCTTTTTCCTTCTTTCTATTCAAAAATTCAATGAGAGAATCTCCTGATCGAGGGTATATTTCCTTTTCGAACTCTTTCTCGAATTCACTCAGGTCAAATTCCATATCTTCCTCAGATACATCCATCTTGACATGCTTAGGATTGATGTCTTCAGTGACATCTACCATGCCTATGAAGGCTGAATGTGTTAATCGGACATCATCAGTAATGCCTGTTTGGGATTCGAGGTATCCTACTTGAGCCTCGAATGGACTCGTATCAACTTTCATTGTCATTTCTTCAAACTTCAACCTTCCTTGGTCGATCGCATCTTGGATGGTGTTCCTGAAATGTATACAATTGTTAGTCCAATGTCCATAAATATTATGAAATTTGCAATATTTTCGACCATTCCTTTGTTCTGCAGACGGCAGTTTATGATCATCACTCAACTTAATCTGTTTGTCTTTTAATAAAATATCAAAGATTTTGTCTGCTTTTGTCACATCGAAAGTATATGTTCGATTTGCCATTTTATCTTTTATTTCATTCTGTTGTAGCAATTTACAGGTATATGGAACCCCCACTTTGAGTTCTGCTAAGTTTACTTTCTCATCGACAGTTTCTTCAATATCATCTTCTGTCATATTATCTGTTTCATATACATCATTTATGTATGCTATTCTTTCCTTTTTTAGAGGTTTCTCATATTTCTTATACCTTTGTTTCTCATACTCGATTTGTTCTACTCTTCTCACTTTATCGCCTAATTGAGCCATGTCATTCAATGGTAAATTGACTAGTTTTTTCCTAATCGAGAATTCTAAACCCGCGAAGCCATTCGACTAATTCATATTCGGGAATTTGAGTGAAACATCTCGATTTCATTTGTCTAAATCGATTCAAATAATCATCTATGCTTTCATGATTGTATCTTTTTATATTCATCAAGTCGATGAGACTCACTTGAGTTTCTCCTCTGAAGAACTGTTCATGAAAATTTCTTTCCAATTGTAGCCAATTATATATCGAATTGGGTGGCAATGACGTGAACCAAGTAAAAGCATTCTTAGTCAAAGAACTTGGGAAATATTTCATTTTCAATTCCTCACTCATCGCTAGGTCTCCACATTCGATCTGATATCGAGCTACATGCTCGATAGTCGATTCACCAACTTCTCCAAGCAAATTTAGTGAATTTGGGTACTTTATACCCTCGAGGCAATTCGTCTCGAGAATCGCATTCGAAAGGGAGACACAAAATATGTCCGATTAGGTGGTCTAAATTCCATCCCTTGTAAATTCATCCTTTGTCCCAACATATTATTCCGATTGTGTATATTTTGAAATCCTTCGTTCAAATTCCCATAAATATCATTCCTCACATGTTGATACTCATGTCCCATACGCTGCTGTTGATCATTGTTTCTATCTCTTCTCAATAGATATGGGGGATTAATATTAGTATTTTGGTTAGCATGATTTTCTATCCTCGTTTGTCGAGGCACGACCAATGCATCCCCAATTCGTGACATTTGGTCTCGCTAATATCTCAAAGCTAGCAGTAGTGTTTTGCACTAATGGATTTAAGACTCGTAGTTAATTGTTGTGATAACATATTCACCATTTCAAAATTACTCTCATCCATTTGTTGTCTAAGTACCCCTAACGAATTACTAGATATTCCGGTACCCATATTTTCGATAGAATCAAAATTAGATCGATGATAGTCTCTATCGAATACATGTCTCCCATGATCTAAGTATCCCCTCCGATCTAGATTTGGAGGTATCTCGTTGTGTGCCTACATTCTGTCCATTCCCCGTATTCTGAGGAATTACTAAATTTTGCGACGTCCCTAAATTCGGAGGAATTCCAAAATTTTGTGGCATACCTAGTGTTTGGGACATTCCTAAAGTATACCTCGAATTCCTATGCATTGAAGAAGTTCCAGTCCCACTCACATTATTAAGTGAAAACCCGGCGGTCTTACACTCATACGTGGCCCTACATATGTAGTTGTGGGATTTCCTATAGTTTGCATATTATTTGGTATCACCGTACTAGATCCTACTTGGGTGTTTGCTAATGTACCTGAATTTTGTTCACTACTCACAGGTATCGACATGCTCACAGTTGTCGATATTACAGGTATGTTATCATTATGACTTTGCCCCCCAGTATTTGGTGGGTGTGACCCATTTAATCCCTCACTGTTACTTTGATTATTTGATGAACTCTGACTCATGACTCTCCCACTCCTTAATCTCATACAATCTCGAACTAACCAATGTTGTGTTTTTCAACACAAGATTCCCCTACCTGGCGCGCCAATTTGTTTCTGGTGGAATTTTGATCGATTCCGATTCTAAGGGTGTTTCGGTCCTAATCAAAAATCTACCACGTAAGTTCTTTTTTGCTTAGGCTAGCAATTTGATTTTCAATCGAGTTTGTGTATGAGAATCGAAAAATCATAAGATATCAAGAAAACTGTTTTTGGTGTTTTATCTTTAAAGTATCGAGAACAATAAAGTGTCGAATCGAAAAAGCAGAATATTAAATTGCGAGGAAACGTAAAGTGCGAAAACCCTAAACTTGCATTAATTGTAAATAACAAGGAATCGAAAAATAGTGCAAATATAAATGGCAGGAACTTGAAATGTGCAGGAAATGTAAATGACAATAAATCGAAAATGCAGAAACTTAAACTTTCATTGAATTGAAATGGACAAGGAATTGAAAATACAGAAACATAAAATTGCTGAATTTAAGTTGCATCAAAATAAATTACCAAGGAAAATACAGAAAGCGGTAAATGTACTCAGTGAGCAAGGAAATCCAGATTGCCAAAAACTTCATGGTGTTCGTCGTTTCTCCGGTAGACTTTTCACTACTGATCCTGTTCTCTGCCAATTTCCCCCCTTCCCTCTCTTCCTCTTTTGCACTATTTATAGGGCATCATTCAAGCCTTCCAGGAGCAGTTACCAAGACTGATACCACGTCCTACGTGCATAAGGCAGTTCCTCTTTTACGGTTTCCCACGTTCTCACGATCTTCGACTCTTCCATAACTTAGAAACTGCTTTCCATACGTGCGTTTTGATTATTTCCTTTCAAGGTTTAGCCGGGGTTTCGATGTCTACGTAAACGATCTTTCCCTTCGATTTTGACTTGATCGAGAACTTTGCATACCTGGCATCGATTCTTTTTAACCTTAACTTCATATACTTCAAAGTTGTTCCATGTTAAGCCTTCGACTATTACTCCTACCCTTCTGATTCTACTTTTCGATTTTATGTGCTACGTTCTTTATAATTGGACATCGAAAAAGTTATCATACGCTTTGTTCGTTTATCGATCATATTTCTCGATTTCACACTAACAGTAAGGTTTCTAGATTGTGACAGGCCTTGAGATCTAGAGTTTCGAGGTTCTTAAGTTGAAAAATGGAGGGTGGGAGTTCTGATATTCTTGATATACCGCGAAGGCTAAGATACTTCAAGTACTCTTGACCTTTCAACTCCTTGAGGAATTCTTCACTCTCCACTTCAATATGATGTGAAGCAGAATGTTGCAGCCAACGACCGAGATGAAGCACCTCCAAATGCTTCATTTTGGCCATCCATTGGAGTCCAAATTTAACATAACTTGTATTCACATTAAAAATAGATCTCCAATGGTTAGATTCAAAACCAAGCTCATCACTTAGCTTAACTTTTCGTTGATCAAGTGTTAAACAATCATACGAAGTATCATTACCATGAGATGAGATTATTCGTGAATAAACTCCGAAAGGTTGCTTTTTATCATTATGGAACAATGGTTTCAGGCTATTATATACCCAAGGATTAAGTTTAAATTTATTCACAAGGGGAAATTTTCCTTGTTGAGTATATGGTACAATTAGGTTACAATGGAAAAGCTCAACAAACACATCCTCACCATCTTCCTCTCCATGGATGTCACCAATTCCCATCCACCATGTAAGCATATTCTTTTTACTTAAAATAAGATTTTCAGGGAAAGATAAGAGAGACAAAAAGCCACGTTTGTGACAAAGATGACCAAGGTTGTGATAATTTACCTTATACTTTCCAAAGTCCTGAAGTTGGTGTGAAGGGAGTGCTCGTTTCACATGTTGAAATGGTTTGCCTGATGACTGGGCAACCTCTATATTACTACTTTGAATAGCACCACCTGGTAGCAGCTTTTGAGTTGCATTCATTATTCTCTTGCAAATGTCTTTCTTCTCTTCCATCAACTTACGTATGTTGGACTTGCGAATATAGCCATCCACCACTGTTAATGTGTCAAGGAGTTCTTCTTCGTTTTTCTTCACCAAGGAAAACACATCCTTTATGTTAATTAACACAGACTTCAGATCCTCCAAATTTGCTTGTTTTTCAACTGTCCTCAAACGCTTCAACAATAAAGGCACTGCTTCCATGGGATTTGTTCGAATAGACATTCCTTTTCTGCTACAAGATCAAGGGACAATGGTGGGAGATTTTGAGACTATGAAAAACTAATGAAGGAAATAATATTTTTTTGCAATTGCGTCAAGATTGAAGGACACAGTGGTGGGAGATTTTGTGATTCTATGAAAAATTTATGAGAATGATAATATATTTAACAATAAGGTTATGGGACTAAGTGGTGGAAAGTTTTGGAAGTCCATGAAAATTGATGAAAAGAAACAAATTTGGGAGTGCATTGAGGATTATAAATTATTTTTTATCGTATGTAATGAGATAAAAATAGGCAAATAATGTTGAAAATAAATAATTGAAGAACATTCTATACTTGGGAAAATGATGAAAGAATGGTATCTTTCCTTTGGAAAGAAATCGTTCCAATAGACAATGAAAAATGAGAAGCAAAGAATCAAAAACATGTTTGGTCTAAGGAAAAACTGTCACAGTATCACATGGAATTGTTTCAACAAACTTTGACAAGCAAACTAAAAGAACTCAAAATAAAACTGTCAAAAACCCAATGACAAGCTTGACATCTTTCTTTCTTCCCACCAAAATTTAAGTTTAAATTTATTTCACAAAGGGGATCCATTTCTTGAAGAATACCACACTAGTGCAGAAAAGACTTAGACTTTTTATCTTGATTAAAATGGACTTTTTAAGTCGGTTAAAGAAGAAATTTAAGTTTAAATTTATTTCAGAAAGTTGATCCATTTCTTGAAGAATACCAATTTTTTAAAGTGAATATTCTTGTAACATTTCCTTTACTGACCACACTATTTCCAGCATCAATGCCTTACATTTATTAGGGGTTCCATCACACTGCTACAGATATGTCTTTCAACGTTGGTTATATAAGGCTTTCAACGTCGGTTATACAACCGACGTTGTATCAGGCGACGTTGAAAGTATGCACTTTCAACGTCGGGTATAGATAACCGACGTTGAAAGTTAAGGCTTTCAACGTCGGTTATTCATACCCGACGTTGAAAGTGTATACTCGTCGCTCAAGCGAGTACACTCGTCGCTCAAGCGAGTACACTCGTCGCTCAAGCGAGTACACTCGTCGCTCAAGCGAGATGGAACCCGAGAGTCCCCTTTGTTTGAAGCTTTCGTCGCTCAAGCGAGTACACTCGTCGCTCAAGCGAGATGGAACCCGAGAGTCCCCTTGTTTGAAGCTTTCGTCGCTCAAGCGAGTACACTCGTCGCTCAAGCGAGATGGAACCCGAGAGTCCCCTTGTTTGAAGCTTTTGTCGCTCAAGCGAGTACACTCGTCGCTCAAGCGAGATGGAACCCGAGAGTCCCCTTGTTTGAAGCTTTCGTCGCTCAAGCGATTACACTCGTCGCTCAAGCGAGTACGAATTTACTACGTCGGTTATGGTATGAACCGACGTTGATATTAGCTTTTCTACGTCGGTTATTGGCACAACCGACGTAGAAAGTCTATTTTTTTTTTTAAATGATCGCTTTGTTTATACAGGCTACCCAATGTTTGTATATATACATACCTGCAAATTTGAATACAACCCAGGCAGACAATGTACAAGATATAAACAATTGAATGTGCATCCAATAATAAAATTGTATCCAAAATTATAGTGTATCCAACTACTTATCTACCAAATACACTAACTACTAATCTAACTAATAAACTAACTAGTAAAGTAACTAAACTAACTACTAAACTAACTACTAAATTAATAACTAAACTTGCCTACTTCTAACTTTAACAAACTTATCGGCCCATGTGTTTCTAATATCGTCAATGGTCTCTATGGGCAATGCTTCCCTGTCTGAAAATACCTGTTACAAGAAAAAAGATAATTTAACAGAGTATCCAATGACACAATACTGGGTCTTTTATTGAATACTAAATTTAAGCAAACCTAATTCCATGTATCCTCAATCTTGCTAACAACAATCAGCCACATCCAGTGCATAACATAATATCCGCACTCATAAGATCCTGGTTGCCTATTACACTACAAAAAATAATATATTAATTTGACATATAAAATGAATGATATAATACATAAATATAAAATGACTTACATTAACAAAAATTCAATCTGGAGTCGTGCTTTTGCTTGTGTGTACTCCATCAATTGTATTGCAAACCTTAAATGCACTCGTGCAATACAAGATATAATGAAACAATTAAGTAACAAAACAATTAATAATTGTTTAAATTATTATAAGAATGTGTACCTGTTTACAATGTTTTTAAGATCTGCATCAGGTTTCTTGCCCAATGAGCGAGAACCAAGCCACAACATTCTGCTTTGGGCAAACAACCAACAACCGCCAATGATTTCTGCTTACATTACAAAAAGTTAGGATAATACAATACACTATAAAATTTAATGCGAATAATTTCATACGCTTAGATACTTACTGATGGTGGTAAGCACCCAAGTAAACTTTCTTCCTTGACTTCATCATCCAATTTTGGATGTATATTTGAACTTCTTCTCTCTTGTTTCCTGATTTTTGTATGGATTGGGGCTCAAAAAATCCATACACATCTTGGGTGCATTGTTCCTCCGACAATTCATTCATCATCCTAAAGTAGCCAGTTCAATGTACATTAAATATGACGATAACTTCAAATAACATAATTAGTAAATAAAAATAAATACTTACATTGTCCAAAATTGTAACACTGCTATGTTTAGACATTGATTGCCAACTACTATCTCCACAAGCATCGGTGTGGTCAATGTAAAGGGGAAAGTTCTTATTGTCTACCCCTAACTTATCAACATCCCACTTCACTTGAAAAGATTGAATATACAACCGTGGGACAACGAGATAGTAGTTGAAAATTTGAATTTTCTCGGGACATCTACTTCCTTACCTTTACTAGTATGGGAAGTAGAAACCGGCTTAGGCAACCTGGGTGGCTTCGAACATCCTACATAAAATAACATTGACTTGAGAAATAATAAAAAACAGTACCGGACTACATATGATAATTAACGAAAGTATATGCAAACCTTTTTCAAAATAGGCCCGATTAGATGTCTAGGCCATGCAATGAAGGTCCGGAGGGCCTGTCCCACTCGTCATCACCTCGTCCGTGGGCACAGGTACAAGAGCATAAGCATCTCGAACCTCTTCAATGACCACTTTGGCCAAGTTAGGTGCTAAAGGCACACTATGAATTGTAGAGGCCCCCTCTTCAATTGAACCAACCGCCACCAATCGTGGTTCGGATCCATCCTCATCAACATAAAATTCACATCGACTCGATTACACAAAAATAAGACATTAATTATTTAATATGCACATGAATTTTTGTCATTAAGATATCATCCACACATACCCGAGTGGTCGATGTACCGCAACAACAACAACAACCTCCCGATTAGTAGCAGGAAGGTCTTGATCGCCAGTATTTGGCTCAAGCACAACTACCCTTAGTGCTAACTCGTGCGGCAGATGGAGGAGGAACATCCATAGGTGGGTGGGTAGGTCGTGTGACACCTATGGATGCTAGACTTGAACCAAATACACGCATCATCTCCTCCCGAACTCGTGCGGTAATGGTTGGTGTCGGCGTCGCCGTCGCGCTCTTCAACCATCGCCGGTCTCGGCCTCGCCGTTAGACTCTCCTCCAATCCGGCCATCTCCCGTTGGCTCAATGATGTGGTGTGGGTATGGTCCGATGATGGAGCTCCAAAATATGCTCGAATACCCACACCAGCTCCAACAAGCACGAACACGCCCGGGTGTTATGGGCGTCCAATAGCAGTAGTTAATATATCTTCACGACCACGGGGAACGAATGTTCCCGTGTATACTCGCTCCTCTAAAGAATCCTACAATTGAGCATTATATATTGTAAAAAAAATTGATGGATGACAAAGCATGGTTAATGAGGTTGAAAGAAACTGATTTGACTTACAATCCGCTCGGCAATCAAGCGGGCCTCCTCTCGATGTCATTTCATCGGAGGGCTTTTGCCGAGCCCTCTTCCATTTTTCATGACGTTTTGGAGGAGATGGTGGGGAAATTTCTTCCTGGCTTACACCGGAAGAGGCTAACTCGGCTTCTCGGAGTTTAGCCTTCTCCTTCATCATGCGTTGCGTCAACAAATCATACCCCCACGAGACGGACAGGTGGGGGCCACATTCAGACCTCCGAATCTCCTTTCCTTTTATTCGCTTCTCCTGCAACATAATATCATATTACAATGTGCTAAATTAATAAGACAATATGGAAACATACCAAAGTTTTTAAATAGTAACATACCTCCCATTGTGGACCAGTCCTACTCCCGACAAACTCGCTTCCAAGTTTCCTCATCTATGCCATAACGCCGACAAGGAGTTAATCCTTTGCTAATGGCTTGGTCATTAAAAATCCATTTTGAAGTCAATGTCGACTTGAATTGCCTCCACATTTTGGCAATAGATGACATGACTTTTCTCCTAACTTGTTCGGAGTTAACAATATCAAAGTGATTCTGCAAAAACAACAAAATAAATTAGGATAACAAAGTTTAGGATCTAACTTAACTTAACATAATTTAACGAGTTAACAAAACTCACCAAAATATCTTGCCAAATTAAATTTTTGCAAGTCTCCTCCACATAATCCCAAGATGGATGCAAAATAGATACCTAATTATGAACTTAAAACGTTAGATATCAATCCATTTACATATGCCGACCATATATGCATAACAAGTTAAAAACTCTAAAAAATTACATACCTTTTCTCTAGCAAGAGTACCCAAGTAGGACCTAAATTGAGTGTGATGTGGCCCCGATATTTTGTCGGTCTTTGGATCCACACTCACAACCAATTTATCTCCCGCCATATGACGAACGGTCAACTTTTTCAACCGTGTGGCTTGTCGAGTCCTCTTTACGGATGGGGGGGTGGACATGCCGGAGGAGATGTGGCGCGAGATGCTTGGAGGAGATGGTGGAGGAGATGCCATTTGCCCGTTAAAAAAAAAAATTAAGTTAAGTTTTTGCATAAATTG